GTTGTGCAGATGTTTATGACCATTACATCACATTATCTTTTTCAAGACAAATAAAAGTCCAGCCATTTCATGGTTTTTCAATTTAATCAAAACTAGTCATAAGATGATGAATAATTCAATGATCCAATTGATGCTGCTATTGATAGTGACAGTGCCAAATTCAATGGCAATGAGATCATGGATAGGGAGGAACGTATGGATAGAATTTGTAATTAATGATCGTGATTGGTGATATTGTATTAGTGGATTATTATTATAGTTTTTAATTTCGTGGGTTGTTGATTTTGAAACTTGTGACTTGTTCTATGGAGTCTTGTGAGTTTTTAGGCTTTTAACCTTTGACAGTAATGTACGATGATATGTTGACAGAATTATCCTTACTACTGAAATTTAGATAATTACATATATTTTTAACTGTTTTATATCACAAGTTTTAGGATCTTAAATCTATTGATCCTATCTTACCAAACATTATATTAGCAAAATAGTGTGTGTGTGCACACGCGCGTTTGTTTTTTAGAGGCAACTTTTGGCAGTGATTTTTAAACAATAAATAATTCCAAGCTTAGGCATGGTCTATAGTAACCTTAGGTAAAGAATACCTTGGCTACTTATGATCCCCAAGTGTATTACATTTTTTTTTTTTTTGGCAACACCCACTTACGATTTCAATGTTTCTGCGCCCTCAAAAACTACAAATATCATTCTGTTGCTATTTGCCAACTCACTAATTAACTAATTAGTAATTAAACAAACACACAAATAAATGGGATACCTTATATCCTTCAGTCCTTCTTCAGTGCCAAAAACAGCCTCTTGGTTATCTCTCCTGGCAGAAAAGGCTGAAATGCTATCATATGCGGAGTCCAAATCTTCCCCCTGTTCAGATAAACATTTTCAGTGCCCGTTTCCCAAACTCCAGCATTGGAATGGACATTAGAGTTTAGTTTATAAATTGATATTATCAAGTAGGTGGATACACACTTAACCAGGCTAAAAAGGTTTGAACCGTCGATTTCACCAGAAGATCTCATTAAGGAACGAAAAAAGAGCATATCTTATAAAAGATGCAAAAAATATGTACGTCAACAATTTTAAAAGCACATTTCATACAAATGGGAATCAGTAAGCTACCTCCAAGAGCTTCCCTTCATGCTTAAATTGCTCAAACCTGAACCACAAGCCAAAGAATTAGCCAGCCACAAAAACCTTTTTCTAGCAACAATGTTTCTGCCATTTTTCAAATGCAGGTGCAGACTGATAACGAATTGCGTATCAAATATGAACAAACCAAATACAAATACACAAGGGAGCACAAGAAAACATAGGGATAAGCACAACCTTATTACATTGTGAAATACCTACTACAGTATAGTCTTCGAAGCTAATGCAACATATTCCCACCCCAGATTGTCAGATTAAAGGAGAATGATTTGCACAGGTAAATGCCAATTTATCCCACTAAGAAACAACAGACAAGTACGGGTTCAAGAGAAAGGAGGAGAGAGACATAGAGAGAAAGGAAAGCGTAACTGGGAAAGCTCGGGGAGAGAGAGGACGTTGGAGGGACGGAGGCTAGTGCAGATCCAATCCAGGATGGGGCGTGCGTCTTCGTACTGAAAGGGCCATTCAAAGCTATCAGGGTCCAATCCTTCGGCATCTTCGAACCCCAATTCAGCTAACAAGGAGCACAGTCTTGCCCCACTCATGATGTCAATGCTTGTCTCAGGATTCGTTGTCTTCGGCTCGCTCAGATCTCCATTTCGAAGGAAGACGACGTAGAGGAAGATTACGGTGCCGGCCTTCACTTTCAATGCGAGAGTGATGCTCTGAGTGGACTAGGCGGAGGTCCGGGCCGGGAAAATGAAGTTGAATTAAAAAGCAACTTAAAATTACAATATTGTCCTTCTACTGGTAGGCTCATACAGCATCAAATTTCGATTGGTTGGTCTTCAATCTAGTTAAGCAGCAAGGAAGACTTATTATCTTCCTTAACCTAGCTTGGCAAAAAAGAAATCTTGCACTTCACAAAGGGATTATTTCTCATCCAAGGGAAGTGGTTAAGGAATTTCAACAATTGTGCTTTTATCTTTTGGAAGTTTGTGTTTGAATCGGTTCCAATAAAAAGAAAGATAATGCTTCAAAAGTTTGTGATTCTGGGATGATGCAGAATAAATTTTCTCTGAGAAATCCTCACCTGCTTTGGAGTATAAAGATGAAAAAATTCAAACAAGGTTGTAGCACCTACTGTTTTGCTGCAATTTTCATCAATTCTGTGTTCATGTGAAGCTTTCTTTAAGAGTAATCTTCTTACATTGAGTTAAATTGTTTCAATCTGCTTTGCTTTTGAGGTATGCTAACCCAGATCAAAGGAGCAAATTCAAATAGGGCCTCCAATAAATATGGTCTTGCATTTCAACGCTATTGAAGGAAATTATTTCAATGCATTCTTCGAAAACATTAATTTTTATTTTCGCTAGTGCAAAACATTTACATGGTTGCTAACTATTTTTCTTTCGTTTCATTTAATGTTTCTTAGGATTTAGAACTCTTCACTCCCCCATTATTGCAAACTAGGTACTGTAGACTAATTTCATTTTATTAATTGATCTTTTTTATCAAAAAAAATTATATCAATACATGTATCAACATAAAATATTAAGTTTATTCAAATTAGTTTATTTTTTGGGCTTTATAAAATATGCTGGTTAATTTTCTAGCTATTTAAAAAAGGTATTTAGCATGCCAATGAATGTTAATCCAATTGCTAAGAATTTGATTCATAATCTATAAAATTATAGATTTAAATTCTATTATTGACATGAAAGTTTTATCGGTAACCAATCTTAAAAACATATTTTGATGAAAGTGAATTCTTAAAATTCAATTTATCTAAACTTTTGGGACTCAAAAATAAAAAAATTAAATAAAAATATAACTTTCTATTAAATATGGAGAAAGTTAAAAGTTTATTCCTTTATTTATAAAATTAATCATATAATTACATTTTTTAAATTTTGGTGAAGTAATTAGAAAAATTTAAAAAAGCCTAACCACGAAGTACACGCAGTGGAAGGGAATCTTTCCAGCTCAAGCTGATTCAGTCATTAACCTACAATTAAAAAAAAAAAATCAATTCTTTTTTTTTCAGAAAAAAAAAATCAATTCTTTAAAGTTCATATCTATAAATTTTAGTGAAGTTTTCTTATTGTTGGTATTTTTTTATTTTGTTATTTTTATTAAAATATAAAAATTTTCTCCCTCTTTCATAAAAGGATAAACTTCACATAAATTTATAGATTTTAATTTCAACGAATTTACATTTAAAACCCCATCACCATTTTGAGAAAAATACGATTTTAACTTCCCTTTGGGTAACTTCATATTTGTCCCCATGTGGATTGGCACTGTGTTTAACACAATACTTGACAGGAGAAGAATGTGGAGGGTAGGAGATTGGAAGAAAAAAAATAATATGTAAGACCCACATAATTTTACTTTCGAATTCTCTCCAAATATAGAAAGATTTTGAAAAAACAAACTCAACTTTCAAATTTATTTTTGCATCTTTTCATTTATTACATGTTGCCTTGCGCCATTTTCTTCTTAACGTTCTCTCATAATTAAATAATTTAAAAAATAAATTAAAATTGGACAAAATAATTTTTTTGAGAGTAAAAGAATTTACAATTATATTTTTATTTAGTCAATAATGTATAATAAAATCATATAAATAATATGTTGAATTATTAAAATTTATCATATATAAATATTTTTTATAAATAATAAAATCATTATTATTCATATAAAATTAACAATTTTTTTTTCTTCCAATTTTCTCTCACTTACCAAGTATAAAGAGAAAAAATTACATCATTCCACGTTTCCCTTCTATCCATTTTCTTCCCTCACACACTCTCTTTGTTTTTCCTTGCAAACCAAGCTTAGCATAAGGGTCTCATTCAACTTGGTGATATAATCTAGACGATTTATATTGGTAATCATTACAATCTTTACGCCCCTACTTGAGTTGGAACCTTGCATACTCTATTTGGATATAACTTTCCGGTCAAAGCTAACATTGTTTGATTTAAAAATTTAAAAATTACCATCGCAGTAACTTTTAGTTTCTACAAGCTTTGGCTTGCCTTTGGAACCCCAAAAAAATTAACATCGCAAAAGTCCATCTAAAATAAGCTTGCCAGTCCTTTGTTTTTTTTTTTTTTTGGACCTGAAAAGCTTGTTGGTCCTTGAAGCATAACCATAACATCTTTTTGCATTTAGGAAAAAGAACATTTGAACATTCATTGTCCCACACTACCATCCTCCCTTTTCCACGTGACCCCATCCATGGTTTCAACTACACATCACCTATCAAAATCTTGACCATTTTAAAAATTATTTCATTTTTCATTTTTCTGAAATGATAATTAATTTGGCAAAAAATACTTTTAGATCTTATCCCAGTCTTATTTGATCCCTATTTATTCAATAATTTCCATTATAAATAAAATTAAAAATAATTAACAAAGAAATTTATTAATAATTAAAAGAAAACTTTTAAAGATAGGATAAATGTCAATTTTGCCCTTAAAATATAGGTCTAGGAGCATCTTGAATCCTAAGATCTTTTTGATACAATATTCTCCTTCAACATTTGAAAACAATCCCCACCATTAATAAATGTTAACTTTGATTATTAATTAACTAGAAAATTAACTTAGTGAACCTTGGTTCGGGTATAGCAAGTTGCACAATACCAAGCAAACCTTGACTCAAGGGATCAGCGTGAAGAGCACCTCTTATCTTTAGTGTTTCCATTATCTTAATGCCCCCGCTTGGGTTATAAGCTATAGCCACATAGCTCAGCAATTCTCTAACAAAGTTAGAGCCTTATATACTACATATTGTATTCAATACTATACGATCTGGCACTCTGTTCTTTATAAGATGTTCTCAAGTTTCTAACTATTTATGCATAAAACTTGAGAAAAACAACGTCGAAAAGCCAATCTATTTTTATTAGGCATGCAACTCGATTAAAATGCTTACTCTCTCTCTCTCATTTTTTTAAACATATAGATCATATTTCCATTCAGATCACAGTTTTTCCTACTCTCAGAGGGCCTGGGAAACCCACCATCATGCATTTTGAACAAACCATCAGAAACTTGTAGAAGTTACTTTAGCAGCAGACTAAGCCACAAATGTTGATAGTAGGACTATCTGAAGAAGGAAGAATGATTGCACACCCGTTTCACGCTGCAGAATCTGATATGTCTACTCTCAACTCCTTCCATTGTGGCTAAAATATCGATCAGCATTTAGTGGCTGGTTCCAGGAATTTGCATCACGTGTATCAGACACAGCTCCACCATGCATGGGCGCAAAAGCTGCATTGAGATACACTAAAGTTAAAAGAGCACTAAACCCAAACTACAACATAAACATGGAAAAAAAATGATAATCATTTCAGAGTCTCTTGACTCACGTGGAAATGGAAGAAATAGCATGTACTTATCAATTAGGGTTATTAAGAAGTAACATTTCCTTATTTCCACTTGACTTCTTGACAGTGTCAATTTGAATGAAATTTAAAGGCTCTCACCATGTTTATATAATTAGATTGTTATATCAGTTATGTAGACAAAAGTAATAAAACAAAATTATAAAATAATGGCTCAAACACATCCAACCGAGTCAACTGTGAAAGCCACTAATAAAGCCACAGCAGGGAAATTGCAACAAATAATTTGAACATTTTAGAAGACTAACAAACTTCGAGCTTCAGGAAGAAAAGCCTAAACAATAAGAAACCCACACTGATAAAATAAGACTTCCATAGGCAATGGCAATTGAAGAAAAGATGTATATAATCTTGAACTTCATTATAATTGGTGATGTTGGATCACAAGCTGATTAACTAGAAAATTGACTACCTTTATCTCTCATTCTTCTCTCTCTGTCATACTCAAATTTATCCCGAATAAAGTTGACTTTTTCCCAGGTATCACCTTGCCTATTTCTTCCAAAACTCTGGTCCTGCATTAGACATAGAGATAATTGACAAAATTACGCACAAATATAGTGTAACATTTATACAACCAAGAAGAATTAGACAATCAAAAAGTGAAGACCAAAATGGCATCATAGTTTTGCCTAGTTCACCAAGGTACTGAAGGCGGCTAATAGTGATATACCAACATTAATATGCTCTAGGACTCTGAAACAAAAGCTGATTCAAGACCAGAAAAAGAGATGTTTAATAACACATTAACATGTTTCAATGACACGTCCACCAATGGAAACAAATCCATACTTATTATGGTTAGAAATTGCTCAAAATATATGTAAAGTAAAGTAATCCAACATTCGTCAAGTGATCTCACAAAGACAGAGCTGCAACACCAGATGCCACTTCTCACCCATTCTAGGCGGCAGACATGGAGGTCCATCATGTCGCAATGAAGATAGGGTCAATTCAAGAAAAACAAAATCCAAAAGCAAATCCATTTTTATGCATAAAACTCAAATGAAATAAAAAATTCAAGTAATTTTTTATGGCACTTTCTACATTGCCTCATCAATGAGCCAAATCTTCTCATAATCACAAATTCAAATGGCAAGATTGTACAAGAGCGAGAGATGACAAAAATTATCAGAAAAAATCATTCTGTGTAGTAAATTTAAAACATTCAATTGTACCTGACTATGCTGCATGTGAGGCACATGAGGCCTCCTATTCCTGAAATGGCATAATATAAAACACCAGAAATCAGACACCATCTAATTCACATGGTTGACTTAAAGTTTAAACCATAAATTAACCCACAAAAATTAGATAATACTGTCAGATAAAACCTTAGAGCCAATTGTCTGATAAAAATTGATCAGTACAAGTTGAATGAGTTGCAAGCCTTTCCTTAGCAATCTATTTCAAACAACATGTTTTCTCAAACTCATGCATGTAAAATTCAAACCGTTTTATTATCTCAGAAGAATTCAGTTTTGACCCATAGCAGGAAAAGAAGATATGTCAAACCACACCTGTAAGGGGAGAAAATCTTCATCATCATCTTCAGCAGACTCATAGTTTGCATGGTCTTGAGCAATTTTTTTAGAGTAGCCCTCATCCCAATAAAGTCTCTCCCAATTTTCCCTTAGCTCATTATATAATTCCATATATTTTTTGCACCATGGCTCGTGCTCCTTTCAGTAAAATGGAAGTATTTTAAGACAAAATAAAGGAAGTTTTGAATTCCATACCATATATAAAAAGAAAAAACGGAGGTGCAATTTTAAAGATGTTTGCTATAAGGTTCTCCAAACAAAACATTATTTGTCTGTGTGGGTGTGTTTTGGCACAGAACAGTAAATGACTGATTCTTTCAACCTGAAAAAGTTATGCATACATTATATTCCCATTAGAAAATATCATAGCGAACGCCTAGACAAAATTACCTAAATTTTGTCCTATAAATCATAACCAACACAAAAAATATCATGACAATTCCATAAAGCAAGTCAATGACACATGAGCATGACATACTCGTCCATCACATTTCTTGTATTAAGAAGGATAATGACCATGTAAACCTGAAACTAAGCATACAAAGGCAAGGCAGTGATAGAAGACAAGTTTCAACATGTCTCCATTCGTCCATAGAAATATATACAGCAATTTGATTTGGGTTTATCGTATATCAATTTTTTCCCTCCAGTACTGAAGAAAAGTAAATCAAATCCAGAATCATAATCAGTATAAGAATTCCGTTACTTATTTGCTTATTGTGGTTTTTAAAAGAAACCAAATGACATACTCAAAAGAAGGAAAATCACAACAAGAGTACTAGAATATCTAAAAACAACATTCTCTTTTGTCTAATTTTGAATTAGCAGGGGCTAACCGACTCCTTGAGAACCAGGCGAGTCCTTCGCATGAACTGCTCCCTCAGCTGCTTCCGACGCTTATTTGGGATGTTCTCTCTGGGGATAACAAAGCGCTCGCGCAAGGGCACGTTATCGCCTATCTCGTGCATTTCGCCGTCTACTATCCACCACTCAGACTTCCCCTCCGCCTTCTGAAACGGCAGCGGCGGAGTCTTGGACCGCCGTCTAGATTGACCGCCGGCGTAGGCTCTAGAAGACGGAATTGATAACCACCGCGGCCGAGGCATGGCACCACGGCTTGAAGTCGTTTCGTGAGAGAAAGCATGAAGGGTGGAAAAGCCAGTAACAGTCGTCTCTCTCAGTGCTGCATCCGGGTCGGTATAGAGATGTCGATACCTTCCAATCTTCCCTGGGGCGATACGGGTCGAATTCAGGTTTGTATGGGCCCGACCTCGTTTGTATCTTTACGGTATGTTTGGTTAGAAAGGAGTGGAGAAATTTTAGGCCTTATTGATAGCTTAGAATCATAAAAAAAGAAATAAAATTGAATATAAAATCTGTTAACATGTGATTTTGGTATGAAATAATTATGATTCTTTGGAATCTAGATTCAAGAAAATTTAGTAGAATCTAATTCCATCACATGCATCATGAAATCCGATTTCATAGTTCCCTTTCTTCAGTTTGCCCCTTCTCCCTCCTCCAATATAATTTTTTTTAATTTTAAAAAGGGCATTTTGGCCTTTTCTTATTTTAAGTACTTATATTTTATTAAAATTATATCAAGATTCCATCATCATACCAAATACACTTTTAAATCTAATTCTATTCCGATTCCAATTCCAATTTTAATTTTAATTTTATTAAAAACTCTTCCATCATACCAAACATGTTAATGTAGCAAAGGAAAGAGAGAAGAAAGGGTCTCCCAATTTGAAGAAAGATTTTGGTTTAAAATTTTTTTTTCCCTCCACCTTACCAATCACACCAAACAAGTCTCCCCTTGTTTGGTAAAGGGGGCTCCTCCCTTCCATCCAAACAAGGATAACATTGCAATTCTAATTGAAAATTGATTTCAATATGTATATATCTTTGATTAAATGTCTTACTTCCTCTTATATTTTTTTTTCAATGATTAAAAATTGAATTGAATTGGATGGTCAAATCAATCGAATTGTTGGCCAGTCAAGCTAACTATTTGGTCAAGCCAAAAAAAAAACGTCTAAAGAGTTTAGGCCGGATTGATAGCTTTGGACCAGTAATTGAACTAGAAACCAAGATCAAGCAAGGGATTGGGTCTTGTTTTTAAAAACCGAACAATGACTTTTCAAAAAACATACCCTTTGTTGTTTTTTATATTTGTTTATCAATTTTTAATATTTTTTTAATCATTTGATATTATGTTATATTTATAACTTGTTAAGTCATGATAAACTTAAAATATTTAGTTTTATTTTTAAGTTAAATAGCAATTTTATATTTATTTTTTATATTTAAATTATTATATATATAATATATATAAATTTTTAATTTAATTATTACGTTACTAGTTCAACTATTAGTCCAACCTGATTTGACCATATAAATTATGAACCACTAGCCTTTCTAATTTAATATTTGGTATGCTTATGAAAAAATTGCTTTTTTTAAAGGAAAAAATGATAATAAGTCCTACAAGAAAAATTAATTATAGTTAGATTCTTAACAAATTTTTTTAAAAATAAATTATAAATATTGATTTAAATAATTATAAATTTAAAAGTTTTTATTACATATGTGATTTTAAATTCTAAATATAATATTTAATTTATAATTTAAATTTTTATTTTTAATTTTTTGAATTAATATTTATAATTTATTTATAAAAAATTGATCAAGAACTAACAATTATTAATTGATTCTTTTGGGAGTTTATCGTCATTCTCTTTTTCTTAGTCACATCTTAAAAGTTTTTTAATATAAGTCATTTTCTTTTAGTTTTCGTAACTTTAAAATACAATTTTAAGAAATTTAAAAGTATCATCCATCAAACTTTAAAAATAAATAAAACATTTTAATTTTTATAAAAACTCTCCCTAAATATCAAATTACTTTTTTTTAAATTTAAGAAGAAAATTAAAAAATAATTTAATTTTATGAAATTATTATTATTCATTAGAAGTTATTTTAAAAAAAACCTAGAGGAAGTTATTTTATTTCGAAAATTACTCTTTAAGCTATTTAGGATAAGTTCGGAATTCAGATGGTAAATTTTTAAGATAGAGAGTGAATAAAAATTAATAGTTTATCTTCAGATGTCACGAAGATGAAAATAGTTAATAAATAAGTTTTTATACTTTTGCATTTGTTCAACCTTAGTTTTGACTTTTGATTTTGATAGCATTACATTTATGATTTTTCTAAATTCTAGTTTGGTCTTTACAATTTATTACTCTCTCTCTTTAAAAAATATAGTCGTTTTTTTTAATCGAATTTCATCCTTTATAAAGTTCTTACTTATTTTTAAATTAATCTTATCTTTTTATATTTATTTTTATTAACTATCATATAATAAATACAAAGTCACTATTAATAAGGAGCACTTAAAAAATAAAATTATACCTCAAAAAATTAAAAATATTTTATATTTTTAAATATTTAAGTCCTTTAAGATGCTTTATATTTTTTATTGGAGAGAGTATTGTTTATTTAATTGATAGTTTGGTCTTTCTTTTGACCTGAAAGGAAGTTTGGTCCCTTGTGGATCAGAATTTAGAAGTTCTCTTCAAATTTACTCCAAAATTGGAGTATTTTGTTTTACCTAAGGGTTTTTAAATTTGTTTTTTCATTTCCAACGATCCTGATCCCTCATTGCTTGGAGAATCCGAGCACAACGACAACATTTGGGTCTTGGAGGGTGGGACACGTGGCAGTAGGGTCCCAAGAACTCGAATCTACAGCGATTTTCATCTGACGGTCTACGGTGAAGCACCAGAAGAATGGCGGAGCACCTGGGTCTTCTTTCTGACTTCACTCCCTTCCCGCCTTTATTCAGTTGTCCGAAGGAACACTTTCCGAACAACCTTGGAGAATCCTAATCGTTTTCTGAGGCGAAGAGATGTGTGGGAGAGCTCGTTGTACTCTGAGAAACGACGACTTCCTTAGGGCTTGTTATCGCGACAATGGTCCTGTTCGTTCCGTCAATATGGACCGGTTGACTTTCTCTTTTTGTTTATGCCGATTTTGCTTTGTTTTTTGAATTGCAAATAATTGTTGTTTTGACTATTTTTGCAACTGAATAGCCAGTGAAGGAAAATGGAAGCTGGGGATATTATGTTAACTGTCACTTTTGTGAATTCACTTCAAATGGGTCTTAGTTTGATTTCGAACTCGCCCGCTATCGAGCGAACTTGTAATATTAAATTTGACTGCGTGCTCAGGTATAGGCCATCATATAATGTGTCTCCGGGATTTAACGTGCCAGTTGTTCGTAGAGAAGATGCATCTGATAGCGAAGGTTGTGTTCTTCATTGCATGAAGTGGGGGTAGTTCCCAGTTTCACCAAGAAAACAGAGAAACCTGATCACTACAAGATGGTAAGTTATAAGCTAATATTTCTTTAATCTGGTGAAATACGGGCAGTAGTAATTCTATATTATTTCAAATGGGAAGGTTATTCTAATACGCTTCTTCCTTGTAATAGTTTTAGTTCAATCTCAAACCTTCTTGTCATGACTATGTATTTATTTTGCAATATTGATGCCTTATACGAGTAAGGTATATGCACTAGTGCTTTAGCAACTTTACTTCTCACTACATCAATTTTCTGATTGTTTGTTCTGAATTATTTTACTTTATCTCTCTAGATATTCTAGAGAAGTTTGCCCATATAAGCTCAAAGTTGAGAACATCTTTCTTATGATATATTGGTATTTGCCCCCTGTTACATAATTTGACTTACCCTGTACTGGAAATCCATAGGTCTAGCAGGCAATCGCGTTTTTTCTTTGAATTTCAAGTTCAACTAGCCTGTCATTATGTCCAATTTGATGCTTAGTGGTCATTTAACAGTGAAGAACAAATGATGGAAATCGGTGAATCCATTTCACATATGGTTGGAGGGGTAGGAGAGAAATCTCTAAAAATCTTTTTTGTCATTGTGAATGAAAAATTTTCACAATGGAAAGTAAGAAATGCTTATATTTTCCAATAATATTGTCAGCCTCTTTATGAGGCTTCATTTGTTCAAATCGTTTGCTAAGTAGCTTCCATGTTTATAATTTTATCTATGCTGTTTAATTTTTTTTCCCTTTTTTCCCTACAATCTATGGCCAATTTGTGTTTTTGTCCTTTCTTGCATTGTTGTCAGGAAACTAATCAACTGAGTGTGATGCCTTGTTTCTTAGAAATATCAGTTCAGTAAAAATGTAGCATGGTTCTAAAATTTCATGGTACATGTATCAGGGTGTTCTTGAACAATCTCTAGAGTTTCTTTAACTTTAAGATAACTATAAACTATACCCCCCCTTGAGTCCTGTGTATTGATATCAATGGTGTTATGTGTTTTTCAGTTTTAATGCTCGGTCTGAATCTGTTGGCGAAAAGGCTTCATTTCGCCGCCTTCTCCGAAATGCAGGTGCCTTGTGGTTGTAGAAGGGTATGTTTAGCATTATAACCATTTTATGATGCATTCATTGTTGTTAGCTATTGCGTGAATTAGAAATGATTCCTATTATTGAACTTTTCTTTCAAAATCCTGTTCCTGTTCCCTTTAAGGCTTTTATACTGTGGGATGTATTTCAAATTTTGAAGTGCATATAAGATCTAGTTTTATCAGTTGTCTTTCAGGTTTTGCAAGTATAATCATAGTTGAAGTTGTAGCTGGGTCAATCTTATAGATAATTTTGATATTCATAGTTATAGTCCCTGAGCTTTTTATTTTTTCAGACCAGATATAGTCTTTGAGCTGAGTAATAGACAATAGTGATTGGAATGCATTTCCACGGTTTGGTGTGTCCCCTTTTTTTTCCCCTTTTCCCCGGCTTGTTGGCAACATAATGATGTTAAAGATGAATCTTCATGGGAAATGATGTTAGGTAAGAAAATTTCATTCTGCAAACCTTTTATATTGAATGCATAGGGAAAAAAAGTGAGATTTGAGGTAGAATCTAATGTTTATTTATCATATTTAACCAGAAAACAGAATACAAAACATATAATTTCACAATAAATTAATGTTGTGAAAGTAGATATATTGAATGCACTCTCTACTTCTTTAGCATTGTT